CAAACAATCAACTATGGGTAGCAAAGCACTGTCAAAAGATCTCCGGGATGAAGTTGTGGACAGGCACAAGTCAGGAGATGGAGACAAAAACATTTCAAAAGATTTATCAATGCCTAGAAGTACAGTGAAGTATTATTAAGAAGTGGAAGGTATTTGGTACAACACAGAGCCTCCCTGGATCAGGACATCGCTCCACTGGATGAAAGAACCGGGAGGAAACATTTGTCTGCGGTTTCCTACATTATCAGTTGCTAATGGCATGTTGCTCAAAATGTACTATATAGTTCTCTGTGCAACAGTCTTACCCCCCAAAACATCAAGTCATTAGTTCATCATATAAATCATTAAATGCAAAATGGTTGATCTAGTTGTCATAAACTTTCAAGCATATTTTCTACACATTTCTATTAGACTTTGTGTAAGTTTGCCATGAATTGTGGAGGTGAATCTTGACTTTCACTAATGAAAAAAATGTAGATCAGCTAATGATAAACCAGTTCTCTGAAATTGCTCAAAAGTGCATCTCATGAACCTTCAATTGGAAAGCATATCTAGACAGAAGACAACACAAGAGTTACAAATTCTGACAATGGATATTTCCTCCCTGTTGGCCTGGTAAATCAACAGTAGCTCTGTGGCCGATGATATTTCAACCACGCCTTCTGCTCATCATATGAAGTTGTGCGATGGTTCACTTGACTCCAAATCCATGTTGCATTGCAAGGGAAGATATTCATTGTGATGTAGATGAGAATCTGTGGGCCGACTGACTGGCACGTCAGAAGGTGCAATGCAATTCCTCATACAGTGCTGCACGCAAAAGTAAAGTTCTGCCTAAGGGGTGTTTCCTGTGTTTGCCTTTCTAATTTTGTATTTTTGCCTTTGTGCCTATATTTCTTTTCTATATCACAATGATGTTGTGATTTTATTTATTTTTTGTCAGACCACTAGTAAAGTGTAACTGTGAATTCTATCCAGTCTCTTTCATTCAATATCCCACATACAGCAATGTGTAGTAAATTTGTACTTTTGAAATGGATATATGGCATACATAAGAAGTGCAGCCTTCTGCATTTCAATACAGTAACTGTCATCCAAACTGTTGCCATAGTTTACATCAGGTAATACTATACTGACAAAATGACTAAGCATTTTGACTATCTTGATTATGAACAATGACAACAATGACTTTTCATTCTGATTGCACTGATATGTTAATTGACAAATACTTTTAAGAGATGAACTAAAGATTTTGAGTAAGTTACAGGCTTTTGCAGGTAATCCATTGTATGGTGCTGTTTGTACGATTTTGTTTTGAGAAATGCACATGCTTCATTGCAAATACGAAGGATGATCGAGAAATGCACCAAAGCGACTGAGAAAAACTGTGAGTCAAACCTGCAGGACTCTTGGTAGGAATGTTTCTGTCCTGAAGGATTTTGATTCTGTCCTGCAGGATTCCTGTATGATCCCGGCACAGAGAGAGCTGTATTCGCTCAGGATTCCTGTAGGATATTAAAAAAAATGTTCCCTTCTTTTTTTTTGAGAGTGCTTAAACTCGCGCTAAATGACTGAAGTCATTGATAATGTGCTTTGATAATGTACATGTTCTTTGCTCGCTTTCTGTATAGAATTACATCAGCATTTTCCAGTAAGATTAGTTCAGTGTTTATGGTGCTGTTTGTACGATTTGTTTTGAGAAATGCACATGCTTCATTGCAAATACGAAGGATGATCGAGAAATGCACCAAAGCGACTGAGAAAAACTGTGAGTCAAACCTGCAGGACTCTTGGTAGGAATGTTTCTGTCCTGAAGGATTTTGATTCTGTCCTGCAGGATTCCTGTATGATCCCGGCACAGAGAGAGCTGTATTCGCTCAGGATTCCTGTAGGATATTAAAAAAAATGTTCCCTTCTTTTTTTTTGAGAGTGCTTAAACTCGCGCTAAATGACTGAAGTCATTGATAATGTGCTTTGATAATGTACATGTTCTTTGCTCGCTTTCTGTATAGAATTACATCAGCATTTTCCAGTAAGATTAGTTCAGTGTATAGGCCTATACCCCCCCCCCCCCCCCCCGTTTAGCCCTTAATTCTAACAATTAAACTTGATCCAGAACATAATTTTCTTTAAATGACTGTTCAGCTCAGCAGTGACCGTATTGATCACTGATGCCAGCTACTGTACATATTAACCATTTGGTGGTAACAGAGCTCTACTCTTTTATATCATATGGGTTGAAGGGTGATGAAAATAAGCATTGTTGGGAGATAAAAGACTCTGGGAAAAGTATAGAATTCCTTTCAGCCCATCAAAGTATTGTGGGATTTCACAGTAGAAACATTTATTTGACAACATTTGCTGTTGTCTTCTCTAATGAAGGATAATCAGTTTAGATTTACACTATGATACTTTGACATTTCATTCGAAACATTTTATGCCTAAAGAGATGAGTACTCTGGCAAATGTGTTTAAAATGCTGTACACTCACATGAGAATCATATCAGTGATACCTAGAAAAAAACTATTTTATTCTACAAAAGTGGTGTCCTCTTTCATTGTGTTGGCCAGCATTTTGAGATCACGTGTATAGACGAATAATACTCACATTCAGTTGCGAAAATAAATTAATCATTGATGGCAAATCCTCTGGTGAATAGGATATTTATACAGTGGCAATGAGAAATGAAAGTTGCACTTTTTTGTATATAAATAGTATCAAGTCCAAATAAAAAGATGGATCTCATCAGCAGGGGAGGAAATCAAGAGTTTTGGTTGAGATGATTTAGATTTTAAAAAATGTTTATTCATTACCACTACGTGACCTTTTGAGTCTCAAACTGTTTCTGTGCAGGCTTTTACCAAGAAATTTAAACATTGTATCAACTGCATAAAAAAGACAAGCAATGGTAGCCGTTACGTTGTCATCACTCTGCAATCCAGTGTTGTCGCCACAAATGAAGGGAGGTGTGAAAAGCATTTCAGAAAATAGAGTGTTTGTGGTTGTGGTGCAGCACAGGGTGTGAAAGTAGAGGTATGGGAGGGAAAGTTTATGAACACGATTATGTTCAGAGAGAGAGAAAAATACATACTAATAACGTAGCATGTTACATCAAATATGAGACTCTTAATCATAAACTGCAATGAATTATTTTAATGTAAGCTCTTCTATTACTAAATTGATTAGCAATGCTCTACTAACTCAGTTAAGTAGCACTGAACAGGATGAGGAAGAAACATTAAACCATTATTAACATTACACATGTGTGAACTGCATGCTTTCCACTGTATCTGTCCACTTTCACACACACACACACACACACACACACACACATAAATAGCTGTGACATGGCTTCTCATGCATGTGTAACGGATTGGAAAGGTATGTTAAATTATTGCATAAATGGGGACAGCGCCATCTATGTGGTGCGTGATGTGATTTAGCGTGTGGAGTAGGGACTGCCCACAGCAGAGTTAATGAAGCATTGCTGTGGGTAAGTTGCACGTTTTTCGCGGTCTAAGAATTACCATTTATAAGTGTCCAAGACACACAAATATTTGCTTTATTGTGATTGTCTGCCTGAGTAGGACGAAAACCCATACGACTACTGGCTTAGACTCAACAAAGCTGCAGATGTTGCCTCTGAATGCCTGCGAGAGCAAGGTAAAACACTTGACAAGCCCAGTGTTGAAATAGTCCACATGTTTATCAGACACTGCCCAAGTAAAGATTTAGTTTTAACCTTCAGATCCAAACCGATTGACAAGTGGTCAGCCCATGAAGTACAGGCTGTGCTTAATGACTATCAATCTGACTTATCGTTCAAAGCCACCAGTACAGTGCATCGCAGCCAAAGTGAAAGAGTTTCAGTTAACAAGATTGATGTTAATACAGTTCCAGTGCCTGGTCCTTTGGTGTGTGAACAACAGAAAAGCACAGATTTCTCTGCTCTAGAGAAGGTCATCTACATGCTTGAGAAAGTCGTGCTGACCAATACTAACAGAAGTCAGTCCCAGCCTTACACCAGGTTTCCTAGGATTGAAGGTTTTGATGCTTTGCCATGTGCCATCTGTAACGATGCTGCCCACTCTGCCTTAACACATTGTCGTGAGCATCGACTATGTTTTCAGTGTCAGTCTCCAGGTCACTCCAGACGGTTCTGCCCTAGGTGGAGACAATCGCCTCAGCCCAATCAGGAAAACTGACGGGTCTGTGCGTAAGGGAGGTTAGTACAGACCAGATAGAACATCCTCCCATATTTGTAACACATGATTATGAGTCTGTTTATGAGCAGAACAAACCCAGTGTCTCACCTGAGAAAACCACTGTCTTTCAAGGAATACAAAGAGTCCCTAGAGCTGATTCATTATTTTACACCACTGTCATCTGTAGAGCATGGCCCGTCTTTCGCTGCATTACTCGACAGTGGTTCAATGGCCTGCACTCTCAGTGAGGCAGCTGAAGCTAAGTTGTTGGCAAGCGCTTCTACATTGTCAAAGTATTCTGCTGATGATGTCGTGATTATTGGATGCGGTGGTCATCGAGTCACACCAACGGCGATGTATGATTTGTCCGTCTGTGTTTACGGATGTAAAATGATAATACCTGTGCTGATCGTTCCAGGCCAGACAGATGAGATGATCTTGGGCAGTAATGCCATCAAAAGCCTGCTCACATTACTAAAGAATACGGATGTCTACTGGAGATTGATCTCACTACCAAGTGGTAATGGAGAGAACGAGAGTCTAGAGTTCATTTCTTTGCTGTCCAACACACAGAGATGGAGAGGTAATCACGTACCTGACAAAGTAGGTACTGTTAAGCTCAAGCACAGTGTGACGCTTGAACCCCAGAGTGGATTGATCTGTGAGATGAATAATCAGTTTGTGCATGAATCATCACCTTCAGTGATTTCTCTTTTTGATGTGGTGAAAAACCTTTTTCATGGGTAAATTTTTGCCATTTTTAGTTGATATTTTCAACTGATCTTTTCAACTGATGTGATTTAGCGTGTGGAGTAGGGACTGCCCACAGCAGAGTTAATGAAGCATTGCTGTGGGTAAGTTGCACGTTTTTCGCGGTCTAAGAATTACCATTTATAAGTGTCCAAGACACACAAATATTTGCTTTATTGTGATTGTATCTTTCAATTAATATGTTGGGACTCTGTTAAGCCTTGTTTGGTGTTGAGTGTGTTGCTCAATATCGAGTTATAACGCGTTTATATTACGAGGCCTGATTGCAATCAATTTGTGTGTTGTCTTGTGTTTTATGTAGAAATGGTTTCTTCTCTCTCTGAATCAGTGAAACCCTATTACACACTGTCTCCATTGTGCAGGTATGTTGTTAAATGTTTGTGTTAAATTGCTTTATTCAAAATGAGTTACTCAAGTTCTCCGCTAGGTGGGGATGTTTCCCTTAACTGTGAGTTTAATTGTATTGCTCTGTATTTCATTGAGGATCTTCATTCATTGATTTGTGATTTATAATTAATTGAAAATGCGTCATCTATATTCAACCTGTTACGACTGAAACACTATACGATCACAAAGTTAAAAAGAATTTAAGTGACCGAATTAACAAAAGAGAACTGTTTTCAAATAAACAGAGCAGAGTTAATGAAGCATTGCTGTGGAAATGGTTTCTTCTCTCTCTGAATCAGTGAAACCCTATTACACACTGTCTCCATTGTGCAGAAAGCAGACCGCCCAGGCAAGACCGTCACACATGCAGCTAAAAATGTCACCAGGATGCTTTCCAAAAAGAAATGGCCAACATTTTAAATAAAAATAACTGTGCCTATACAAATGAATAGTCTGACAAGGGCAGAAACAATGCCTTGGACTGAAGGATCACACCATTTTGCTGGGCTTGAGCTATAATCACATTCTCACAAATCTCTTGTGCTACAGGAAGTGTTTTTGCCTTTGACATCTTGAACATCGGAACTCCTCCTTCATGGCTGCTGGTGCTGTGGCAGCAGGCGATCATGTCCTCTTTATGCTAAGTTGTAGTCTTGATATTTAGAGCCCATGTAAGAAAAGTTATTTTTTAATAGTAACTTAAAAGTAATAGGAACACACTTCCTTCCACACTTGCACTCTATTGTTTATGTCAGAAAAACAACAATGTACAGGTTAACAAAAAATAAAAGAAAACTTGGAACATTACAAATTTTAAACATTTGTAATCTGATCAAAAAAAAAAAACAGACAATAAAAATCACTGATATTATATGTGATCTAATAAAAAAAATGAAATGGAACTCAAACACTTGTAATCAGAATCGGAATAAAGGATTAAAGGATAAAATTAATTCTAAAACAAGTTCAAAATGTTTTTGTTATAACAAAATTATGACAACAATCAAATATTAAGTACAAAATCAATCATCTTTTACAGCTGTGTATACAACCTTGGTCTCCACATCTTTTAAAACAAAGATTTGCATTTTATCTAGTTTATGACTTCGGTCAAATCTTTGGATGTTTGATGTGTCTAAAAAAATGACAAAAGTAAGATTTTAATTAAAAATAGTGCATACTAAAAAATCCAGCAGGCTGAAATATTACCTGAATGTTACCTGTTTTTTGTAGATACAGGATGATGTTAAGAATTATTGACACTGCAGTGATCGGCACCAGTGTGGGCAGAACATAGACACATAACTGTTCACCTACCACAAGATAAAATATTAATTATAGTGATATCACACAACTAATTAAAATTATTCTGACTTTTTAGAAGCACAAAAAAGAAGAAAAGAATAACTAAACATGAGTCTTTTTTTAAGTGGTGTGCTAGGTCTATGATTTCATAATATAATTTAATATGATTTCATAATTAATAAATAAATAATTTTATAATTATTTTATGAGTATATTTTTGTCAGTACTGTAGATTATTCTGCTAATGTATTTATTGAAGACTTATAAAGATCGAAATGGACTTACTCCGGTGGTCTTCTTTTTCTTTTACTAGCCCTGTTCCTGTAAACAAAACACATATTTGAATAAATAATAATCATTACAGACATCGTCATCATCATCATTACCTGAAATGCTTTTTTACTATTTTCGAACTATTTTACTTTACATTTGCATGTGATTATTCACTGCTTACCATTAAAAGGCTCTTCAAACATCAGTCTTGTTCCATTTCCAAAAAACATCCTATTAAAAATAATCATCCCACAGTAGTACACAGCGATGTCTCTTTGCTCGATGCTCAGTACTGAGAGATTGAAGCTAAGCTGGTTCCATGTTAATCTAAACTTTGAAGGATCCTGAAATTTTTCTCCAATCATTATGCCAGTTTTGTCTGATTCAGCCAAAGCCACAAAGTCTGGAGCAGAACTGTTCTGAAATTTTAGCCAGAACACCTTAAAGTGCCCATCGTCTGGTGTGAAGCACTGAAGAGCTGTGGAGTGTCCAGGTTGAACTCTCACTGCTGACTCTGGTTGAGACACATGCAATGAAATGCCCAAAGCAAATGTACCTAAACATTAAAAGAATTCAAAATTAAATTATGTCTACCTACCTGCACAATCATTTTTAGCATCTCAGTCCTTAGACTATGTACAGTAGACACTGAGTAACTCTGAGTGTTTTAATGAATTGTTTGTGTCAAAAGTTTTCAATTTGTCAAAAAAAGTAAAGAAAAATCTTAAATTCATACTCACACAGGTTTATTATAATGCATGTGATGTATGATAATTTCGTCATCTTAACTGATCTGTAGAAGACTACACATGCAACAGGCCTTTCTTCACAGGACAAAAGATACATCTTGAAAGGGTTATAGATTGAGTTTTGGGGTGAGGCTTTATGCACATTATGCAACTTGACCGCTTTTGCCACATCTTCCTGTCATGTGGTCTAAAGTGTCATTTATTGGGTTGGTTTTGGTAAAGAAAGCTTTGTTGTTCCTGTATAAAGGTCATTATTTCTTAATCATTCAAATCACTAAGTTCCAACAGGTACATGTTTTAGCTAGACACTTAGCCTACATTTTATTAGTTATTTGAAGCATATATAAAGTCCCAAAACAATGCACAATAAAAGGTTCAACAAGAACAAGAGGTAACATAATAGATATTCAAATGACGCAACATCCTTTGCTTTCCCCCAAAATGTGGCCGAAAAAGGCACAAAGTAGGCAAATAAAATCTGTCGTGTCTGTAGCAACCAATCATTGTCAGGGTTAGTCATTCAAGCCAATCAGCTTTCAGTATCACATTAGTGCGTTGTCAAACCTGGGGCAAGTTCATGCTCAAACCGTTCTGCTACCGTTTCCGGTTTGAACGACATGTTTCCTGGAAACTGTGTGCAAGGGGGTTTGAGATGTGTTTTCTCTTGTTTGGTGGATGTGTCAAACATGTCAGCCCAGTCAGCAGCAACATGTATGTAAACCACGCGGTATTCAAGAGACAGCTCGCACAATGTAATTAACATCCAAATAAATTCATATAAATAAAGAGCAAGTATATTGCTTGCACATGTTTATTTACATTAAAGGCAAAATAACTGAAATAATAAGAGCACAAGTATAGATCTGGAACTGCTTTAAGTCTGTCTAAATATAATTTAGTAATTGCAATGTCTTCTGGTCCATATCCTTTCTTTAGGAAGGTGTGCTAAACACTGATTAATGTAACAAAAATACTATACATATGTATATATTTTGCTTTTGTATTGTGGAGTGACACTTTCATAAACTTTTCTATACCCCTCTGATTATATAATGGTAAATATTACAATATCATATAGCACAACAACAGTGATCAGCAATAATGATAAGCCTCATACTCACAATAAAAATAATAAGGTCATATAGATCATAACACAGTCTTGGAGGTAAGAAGTGGATTATCCTTCACCTGAAATGCGAGGCACCATAATTAGGAACCACAGTTTCCACAAATCCCTTCATTTGATTGGGATGTTCTCTTTTATTCTGGAGGGTAAGGGCAGTGACTGTACCATCGAGCGTATTTTGCAGTATTAAACACATATTTTGTCGGGGCTGAACGCCGCCCAGCTTTGACAACAGGTAAACAAGCCAAAATACATTAATTGCAAATTCATGAAGAATCCGAAAGACTGAAAAACAGTGTATTTATACATTTGGCATGATGAAGGTATGGAGGATGGAACTCATTTACGCAAGTAAGTGAGCAAGTACCTGGGGGTTTACTGGTTACTGCGTGATGAATGAAACCGAAAAAAGCTAAATGACCTTAAGCAAGAAACTAAATAAACTGTGAAAATATTGTTTTATATAACATTGAGGTCGCGGCACCATCTGCAGTACAGTTAAAAGGGTTCAAATGTCTTAAAATGCTTTAAAACGCAAGTAGAATCAGCGCTGAAACGTGTTACTCGCCCGGTACCGTTTTTATGAATGGTGGTGAGAATTTGAGATTAGTACTATCATAAATTCGTAAAAATCGTCATCGGAGGTTGTAAGTGGAGGCTCTTTGTGGACATCCGCTTGGCTCCCATTTAAGCCTCGGTTATACTCCAGTTTGGACGAGTATTTTTCCACGCAGTCACAAAAAATGGGAGGTATGTGGATGTCCGCAAAGAGTCTCCGCGTATAACCGCGTAGGCCTATATGATTTTTACGTCAGACCCTTGCGCACTCACTCACTCACTTGGAAAGTATAACACTAGCTTTTTTGTGAACGTGCAGACAAGTATGCGCGGTCACTAGGCTACAAAATATGGAAGGCCAAAAGGGCCAAAAACACAACGCGTCTACAACGCATTAAACACACGTATTTCAGGCGTAAACAACACGTATTTAACGCGTTAAATACGTGTCGTTTACACGTGAAAAATCAGCGCGTTAAATACGTGTATTCAACGTGTGAAATACGTGTTAAATAAAGACTTGAAGACTTGGGTCAAACCATTTCTGTGAGCTTAGGGGGGTGTACCATTCATAGACTAGGCAACCACCATTTAACATGCAATAGATCAGCTTATTCAGCCTAATTATTATTTTTTTTCTTTTGTATAGCCTATAGAAATAATATATTTAAATTGCAGTTTTATGAAAAACTAATTTTTCACCTAAATATAAACACATTAGTGGACATTCTAGCTTTGATCAAACTTAAAGGGTTAGTCCACACAAAAATGAAAAGTAGCCTGTGCTTTACTCACCCTCAAAGCATCCTAGGTGTATATGACTTTCTTCCCCAACATGTGTATTTGTGGTGATATCATGAAGTAATCAAAAGTTACAGCATTTGGAACCAAGGTAGCCCTTATCTTAGCCCTTTACAGTTTTGAATTTGAAGTAATGCCTCACTCAAGTTTAGTCAAAGCCCCCAAAAAATTATACTTGTTATATTCCACTCGATGAGACCTTTCAAATTACATATGACACATGACTATCTGAGCTGTATGATGTTTCTGACATATTAGAGTATATGGAACAAAAACATTTTTCATAAATTATGAAATTTTGTTTTCTATTTATCCACAAATAACTCAGCACTACCTAGGAGTTAATCAAAGTGGCCACATGCATTGTAAAGGTCAGACTCCAAGCTTTCAAATGACACCTATTTTGTGTTGATTAAGGCAGATATTTTGAAGACACACATACATAACATTAAGACCCGACAAAGACAGACTGCACAGACTGGGGTTTAAATAGATGGGCTAACGAGGGAAATTGCAAAGACACACCTGAACCAAATTATACAATCAACGAGA